AAAATTCTGACCTTGGCAGATTATATAAGGGGGCCATTCGGAAGCAGGCTACAACTGCCCTCTTCCTCTGCTTAGAGAGTAGTTTATGCCATACAGCCTTTTTAGATCTCTGAGGATGTTCCACCTGAGGTAAAATGACACAAATAAATAAATATTTATATCCCAAACTTTACCTCAAAAACATAGTATTAAACGGCTGCACCTTTTAAGTAACCTACATTTGGAATTCCGATTCCAAAAGTACCCTAAAATTATTATGGAAAAGTCCATATCCTAAAAGTTACCCAAAGCTAAATTTGAGATAGTTTTAAATGCTTCATAATTTGCTTAGTAAAAATATCATATTTTCCCAATAGCATGTACTTCAGAAGCTATGTCATCTCTAAAATTGAAGAAACATAAAACCATTCTATATAAAATCATTTTGTTCCCCTCTCAAATTTTTCCTTGGTTCTTTATGGTTCCTTTTGGTTCTAAAACATCTTTTCTGCCTATACAATGAAAATTACCCCATTCTTATTTATGTATCCATTGGAACCAAGTTTATCATAAGAGCTATAGCAATAAACACAAATAGAGTCAGTGAAAGAAGATTCTAATGAAAATTCTTCTGTTACGTAATATGACAAGATACAGAGATGACAAGGCTTGTGAACACAGTATTAGGAGTAAGAGGGTTTAATTTTGCAAAAATGTTAAAATACATAATAACTATTTTGTTAGATAGGGACAAATGAGAATTCAAAAGTTGCAATAAAAGATGCAAGCAAGCGATTTCTTTAATTAATGGTGTTTGAAACGCCAAGAAGAAAAAGAGATTGATTATAAGGATTAGAAAGAAAAAAATCCCAACATATGATTCTAAATTAATTAGTAATCTCTAGGCAATTGAGCACTGTACTTCCCAGACTGTAATATCTCCAGTTCAAATGTTTAGATTTCTGAAAGAAATAAAAATGTTATGTTAGCTAAAAAAGTAAAACTGAATTTATTATTCTTTGCAGTAAAGGGTCAAAATATGAATTCAATAATGTCTGAAGAAAACATTAACAATGTTTAGACTACAGTGGTTTAGGAATTTTAACAAATTTGTTTAATTAAAAAGCACTTATATCTGTGACCCTTTTCCTCCCATAGGATCAATAAATATTTTTTGGACAATTATCCACTTCAATTTTCTTCTTGATGAGTGTGTTAAGTGAAAAAAAAAAAAACAAAACAAAACACTGCTGAGCTTTAACGAGGTAGATGAAAACAGAATCAAGAGCAGTGTTATTCAATTAGATCCAACACATTTCCATTTAGAGTTGCATTTTGAGATCCAAATCTGTAAACGGTAACTTTTTATGGTAATATGGCATTCTGAATGGCATAGGTGACAGTCAACAAACATACATTAGGTACTCGGGCATTGAAGATACAGAAGAGAACACAACAGAAAAAGTTCCTGCCATCATGAAGCTTCTTATTTGGCAGGGCCTTTTATCATTCAAGGAAAGATCTTAAATAGTGGACTTTCCTATAAATCAAGTAAATAGTTATCTGTAAGATCTGGAACGCAAAGGCGAACACCAAGATGTACCTTGTAACTGTGTGAATGTCTTGATGTGCTGATGTGTTAGCTTGACTAGAGTTGGAGTATTAGCAAATTCAAAGGAGACGGCCTACTCTCATGAGAAAAGTTACCAGATGTACAGTACAAAATACCCATCTGAAAAAGGTTGCTGATACTTGAGATAAATTAAATCAAGTATTTCCTATTACACCAACTGCTTTTCCACTGACCCTAGCAAGTTAAAATGTGCTTTGCAAACTACACTGTGACTCAGTTACAAATAAGTATTATCATGGGGCATTCAAGGCACGAATTCTACACACAGATATCTCACACTGTTTTCTATTCCTGATAACGGACAGTTTCTTTTTACTCAAAAATCCTCCTCTCATGATAAACCTATCCTGCCATATCCTTAATATTTTGAAGAATACTTGGCCCTAACTAAAATCTGGTCCCCTATCTTTTTCTAGATAATTCCTATTTGTCCTTTAAGATTTACACAGGGATCACCTACGTCAGACCTACATTAAGTTGGGCTCCTCTTCTACCTTCTTCAGCACATCTATGTCCCAGCACATCCGTATCATTACACATTTATCTGTTTAGGTGTCTACATCCTCTATTAGAGCATGAGACACTCGAGCTTGGGGACAGTACCCAATCCCCAGGACTTGCTGAGTATAAAGCCACCATATGCCACTGTGCATTCAGTAAATATCCAAGACATGAATGGTTGCTTAGTAAGATGAATCTCATTTGAGAAATGTCATCATTCATCATGATTGGCTGTATCCATGAATATATAATACTATAGGAATATAATATCAGATTTCAGTAAGCTTTATTTAATGTATCTAAAATTCATTCAAGCAAATCTAGATACGTGCATGAAAACCAGGAAAAATTAAAAACTTATGGTAGAGGAATGCTGCCAGAAATAGTCCTATAGTAGCCGTTTAATTAACATTTAATAATCTTCTTAAATATGTATATAATTCTGGATACACAACTCTTTAACAACTTAAAATGTCATACTTCAAGTCTGGTCATCTGCTGATTGATAATTTGTATCTATTTAATATTTCCTGAAAATACTATAGGGAGCTGGGGAACCTGTAGCCTTGGGGTCACATGTGGCTTTCTGGATCCTTGAGTGCAGCCTTTTGACTGAATCCAAATTTTATAGAACGAATCCTTTTAATAAAGGGGCCACACTTGGGGATCTGGAGGGCCACATGTGGCCCCAAGGTTCCCTACCCTTACACCAGTGGGGCATTTGAGTAAGCGAGAAAGAAATCAAAAG